CACACACTAACTCTTTCCATGGTGTGCATCCTGGAGTTGGAAGGGGAATGGAGCGTGCAATCCCCTGGTCACTGAAGTCATTGTAATGCTAGGTTGTGCCCAGATCCCACCGATCTTTAAGAGCAGCACAGCACAAGAGAAGGACCAAAGTCTACACTGCCATGACATTCCAGGTATTGATAAATAGTTGTGGTCTGAGACTCCTTTAGTCAATCAGACATGACACAGGCCAGAATACACATCTCTACCACCAGGGCTTCAGGTCTCTGTCTGTTACCAAGGTAAATCTAGAAGCTCTTTTCTCAGACACTGGCTTGGATTCATTTAGCTCTGCCCTGTGTTGGATTTCCTCCTAACATGTTGAACACTGAGTTCCAAGATAAAGTTCTAGACTTATATTCCTCTCTATTACACACAATAGATAGTGCATTTCTCCAAAGTGTTCTCCCAAGTTCAGAAAAGGAATCAGTCTTATGGTGGAGTCAATTTTCTGACCACCAAAATTCATGATTGGCATGGTTATATGTGAAGCTTATAGTTGCAGGTCCTTTACAATCTTAAAGGTATACCTTAGGCCTATACCACAGCTGGTAGAAATTTCAGCTGATTTGGCTGAAATAGGAATCCTCCCCATTGTGGTGTAAATCTCCATCTGGCCAAAGGGCTAGTCCAAAGGCTTCATATATAAGAACTGGCCTGTTTTTCATTTCCTCCTGGTGTTATAGTTCACTATGTGGGCCTGGAAAGGAGTTTTGAGGCAAAAATTCTGTTTATTTACCTACCCTATCCTTCAGTGCATGGGATCATTTTCTGTGCTGTGACATCCAAACTCAGGAGAGAAATAGTAGAGTCAGTCCCTTGACTGCCAAGGCTAACTGGAGTCAGAGTCTATGGTGCTCTGCACAGTACTGGATTTCTCAGTGCCAGCTTGGTACTGAATTCTGAGTCTAATGCCTGCTCTTTATTCCCTTTCTCTTTCCCATGTCCAAGGCATTTTTCTTCATTTCATGTTACTTGGAGTTGGGCGAGGTTAATGTGGTTAAGTCTTTCCTTTCTGAGTGTTTCTTTGCTTATGATTATGCCAAAATCAGTTGCCATTTTGTCTTATCTGGTTGTGTTAACTTTTGTGAATGGTTTATTTTCTTTACCATTTTTTGTTATTGTTGTTGGTATGAACAGTTGCTTAAATTGGGAGAACTTTCCTTGGTGGTCTTATTCCACAATCTGCTTTGCCCCTCCCCACTGGACACAGTTTTTTTGTATATCTTCTTGCCTTCTGTGTTTTCAGAGCCTGGGACAGTGACTGGCATGTAGTAAGGAGTAAAAAATGATATCTTATATAGATAGTTGACCAAATGATTGAAGGAGAATGGAAAGGAGAATACTTTATCTTGGGGAGAGATAGTTGGGTTTTGGTCTTGTTGTTTATTTTGGGATGGAAAGAATACAGTCTCTAAGCATTGAGTCATCTCTGAGTTATGACAGTACTTATGCAACTTTGACAGCTCTGCAATATTGAAATTAAATATGCACCCTCTCTGGAATGCTGAGTGTTTGAGCTGTCCTGATGCAAAACATTCTGCTAATGCTTCAGCCTTGTCCTAACCTCCATGGAGTCAAAGAATCATGCAGCCTGACATCAGGTCAAGAAAATAATGGATATTTTATTTTTTTTTACCTTGAAAGAGTTTGGGATTATCTTCTCTATTTTACAATGTGCACTAAATGCAATTATGATTGGCCTCCTTGACTGAGGCATGATTAAAAATTATTTACATTTCAATAAATTCAGTGTATCTGGCTCTGTTATCAATTGTTACTTTAGAAAGAATACATGCATTTTGAGGATCCTCAAAATGAGAAGTTTTTGGAACCAGTGCCCAGACAATAAATGAAAGAAGTGCAGGAAGTTACCAAGGCCCTACAAATTTGGATTGCTATGCCAAAGAGTTATATTACATACTGGAGAAGGAAATATACTAATATATTCCATCGTACTTTGTTCTCAACAGTCAGGCAAACACTTTACAGCTATCAAAACTCAAGCAAATTAAAGCAATTTTTCCCATACTGATTAAAAGGTCACACAAACTCATCGAACTGGATACATTAAATATGTGCAGCATTTTGTGTGTATCAAATATATCTCAACAAAGTCATTTTAAAAGAAGGAAAATTCATAGGAAATTATCTCCTTCATTAGTATTACGGCAGACTATGCCAAAGCTTCCCATCAAGAAGCCAAAGGAGGAAAATAGTTTCAGAAATTATGTTTTAAGTGAGTTGTTTCATTCACCAAATTTAGGATAAATGAACAAAAATAATCACTTGAAATATTAATGAATGAGAGAATGTATTACTCCTGTCTGTGCATGGACATGCTCCACTATCGTTTTCCCAAAGCTTAATGACCAGGACCATGATCTCTGGGGTACATTGTGTTAGTTATCTTCTGATCATGCTAGCAAACACCTGATATAACCAACTCCTAAGGATGAAAGGTTTATTTTGGCTCACAGTTTCAGAGGTTTCAGCCCATGTTCCATTGGTCCATTGCTGTTGGAAGAGTATTACAAGGCAGAGAACACATGATAGAATAATGCTGCTCACCTCATGGTGGTGGGGAAGCAAAAGAGGGAATCATTTAGGGGCTAACGTACTGTTATCCACTTCAAGGGAATACCCCAAATAACCCGATTTCTTTCTGCAAAGCCCCATCTCCTAATGTTCTACTACCTTGTAATAGCACCATAAGCTAAAGACCAAACTTCAATAATGGGCCTTGGGGGTACTTTCAGGAACCAAACTGTAGCATACATTCATCAAAATAGTATGCCCAGCTACAGCAGTACAATCATGACCAAATCAAGATCAAGATCAGAATAAGACCTAGTTAGACAATGCAAGATCCACCAATCAAGGAAGAATTTAGAGGTTTGTTCTCTTGGTTTAATGCATGAATTTAATTTGAGTAATACGCTATTAGAGAAAACTATGAAGCAGCAAATGAGAAAAGCTTTTCCCCAACTCTCTATTTTATCCCCATTTATAAATAACTATGAAAATAAAGGCCACTAAAATATTAAAATACCTGACCAAATTCTGGTATCACTACATCTAATTATTACCACAGTTTCAGCACTGCAGATCTTTAGAAAGAGCAGAGTGAGGTAAGATCAAATATAATGGCCCCACTCCCAGTCCCCAGGAAAAGTCATTTTCTGTGATCTAACCAATAACAGATGGAGAATGACTGAAAGCTCTGCTGCTTTCTAAATAGAAAAGCAGGATTTTGTTTTCCCAATAGGCTTATTGGAGAGATGGCTTCAGTCATTAGTAGCTTTGCTAATTCTTCCAGTTGGACTATGTAAAAATATGTGGTTTAATACTCACCATCCACAGTATCTCTTTACAACGAGCATTAAACCTGAAAAACCTTTTGCATTTTTCCCCTATAAGGTAGAAAGTATCAGCCTAGTCAATAGAATTTTAATATCATATGCAAGAATAGAGAATTCAATTTGTATGGGTTCTATTTAGCAGTTTATCTGCTATCAGTACTGATCACAGCTTAAGGGACTCTAGTGACTCATATGCTGAGCCTCATCCCCAAAGATTCCTTGACAGTTTGTGCACACTCAATGTGACTTGTGTAAACAAATTTTCAACATGGAAGTATTCCAAAAAGAGTTAAAAATTGTTTCACAACCATTAGAGCTTCTTCTGAAAAATGGCATCAGTAATTTTCTATTGATATTATAATGTCTGAAATGCTATGCTTTACCCAAGGAAATCATAACCCATTGTGATGCACAGCCACAGCACACACAAAGTGGTGTCTGGAAGTCTGCAGTGAGTTATTTCAAGATGCTCATTCTACAAAGAATCATTCATTTTAATTTTAAATAATCACTTTTGAGTGTGTACTGTATGTTGTCTTAAACTTGATTTTTTTTGTGCCTGTGGGTATGTGTGTGTGTTGGGGGGGGGGTCATCTTCACATTCATTTTCTAATTAAGGAAAGGTCAAATAATTTGCCAGAATTTAGAGAGCTATTAAGTGACATTGGCATGATCTGATTACAGAGGTGACTGACTTCAGAGACTTTTTTGACTACACAGAACCACCTTTAAAACAAAACAACAACAACAAAAAAACCATTGTGATGCACATCTCCAAGCAATATGAATTACTGCCTCTATGTGGGAGAATATGAAAGACGGAAAGACCATGAACACAGCTATGCAGCTACCCACAATGAATAGAAATGTCTGAAAAGTCTAGGGAAGCTCTGTAATATGACAGGCAATAGTCAAAATCAGCAGAGTATAAAAAAGCTACAGCCTCAGTTCATGGGACTGAGCACAGAATAGAAAGGCAGTTTGATGATTTTCTTCACCCACGCTTGGATAGATTTTCATCATCAATTGGTGCATTAATTCTATCTTGCTCCTGGAAACAGTCATTTGCTTAATAGCTCTTTTGTGACCAAGGGAGTCATGCACAGTCCCAAATGACTTAACGTCTAGCTGGGGAGGAGTTTAATACAGAGAAAAAAAATCTAACTTCGTTTTCACAAAAAATATGAGGAAGAAAGTTGGCACAAACTGCCTTGCTATTTTGTTGAGAAAGAGCACTGTTTTATTTTGACATAGGTCACCAAGACACAGGGTGTGATTTTTTTGTGTGTGTTGGTATTTCCTTGAGTCAGTAAAAATGCACCAAAGTAAATGAGTGAAATACAAAATGTTCTGATTCATTGGGTCCTACTGTGAAACTTTTATACTAGAAAGTTTACAGAGAATTATAAGTATGCATCTTAACTTTAAAACTTTGAAATGGTTTAAAATAAAATTTCAGTAATTGATAATGGATTTTTCATAGGTTGATTAATTTGCCCTACTACATATTTAGAGTGGTCTATGATGTGATTATTAATATAATTAATTCTATAGAAATGCAAGAGAGATATGAAAATATGGTTGTACTTTGTTTGTCAGGTGATAAAACAGGAAGAACTTGGCAAGGATCTTTTTGATTGTACTTTGTATGATCTACTGAAGTATGATGATTTTAATGATGACAAGCACCTGGCTCTTGAAGAATTTTATAGAGCATTCCGTGAGTACCAGATTCAATCTTTAATTTCTTTTTGTTCTTTTTCCTGTTGTTTTACACAATATGGTATGTTAGCCTGATCTTAGAGTACAAGCTGTTTCTTAAGAGATGTGATATAATTGAGAGAATTTAAGTTTCTGGCTGTACTGACATAAAAACTAAAGGACTTAGTAGCTGAAAAAATAAACAGTTGGAAATAGTTGATAACCTTGGATACCACCAGTTCTTAGTGATTCCAGTTTAAGACACTGGGTAAACAATGTTGATTTCAAGATTATCTGGGAATAGGAGCAGCACTTGACCAATTGTCACCATATGTCAAAACAATTTATTTATACAGTGTCGTATTTAAACTGCATTTAGAAACAAAATGTATTATCAGATTTGGTTTGTATGCATTTGAAGATATATTGCTCTTTAGAATTGCTTATTCTTTTATAAGAATAAAATATTATATTTACATTAAAAATTTGGAATGATTTACATGTTTGTGTTGTTTAAATATGTCTTAAAGTATTCTTTATGAAAAGGAGTTATGAAGATAGGTTGGATAACATGGATTTCTTATCAAGTTAGTCTTTAAAAATAATTCAAAGAGAAAGGATTAAGAAACAAACAAAACAAACAAACAAATATAAACCAAATAATCAGGAGCTTTATACTAGAGAAAGTAAAAAGAAAAGTAAATTAGCTAGTTGGTATTTGAAAGTCACCAAAGAAGCACAGTTAAACAGGAAGCAATTCAATCCAGCATCTGATATCAATATGAGATCTCTCTCCATTTCTTCCCCCCCGTCTCTTTCTCTCTCTCTCTCTCTTTCATATATATATATATATATATATATATATATATATATATATATATATCACTATCTATATAGATATAGAGAGATATAGATATATAGATAGATAGAGATATAGATACATACACACATTTACACATCAACAATGGGTGCATATATATCTTTCCAAAAAGACATGAAGCAGGAAGTAGTATATGTATTTTGCCTTTGCTATCTGGCCTATCAAGTTGATTAATATTGTAAAGTTTAATCTACTACACTTAAAAATTCATATAAATGATTTCTTATCACATGATGAATTTCTATTTGAGTTTCTGTTAAAACATATTTTATGAATATTGATACCAATATAATAATCAAAATAATATATGAGAAATAGTTGATGGTTATAAAGTTTAAGACTAGGTATCAACATGCTCTTGGAATTTAATAAAATTGCATGTGTGCATTAAATTAGAAGACAGAATACAAGACAGGGTGACTCAGGAAATTGTTGGGCCTTTCATAGGATTTTATAAGACTAGAATATTTTTAAATAGCAAAAATAAAACAGTATGAGCCTCCTATGTTTATATAAGGAAATTAAAATACAGATTAAGAAATAAATTGATAAATTTATAAGCAAACCTTTGTCAAGCTAATAATGAAGTCTGTGTTTTTCACAATCATTGAACAATAGATGGAATTATTTTGTATGCTCAGGAAGGGAAAGGAGCAGAAAGAAAATATTATTGTTTATCAAGGAAAAAATTATGTACACATACAATACAAATGCTGTAGTATATATCATATAATAATATAACTCAAGATAGAAGGATTTAAATGTTATAGAAAGACCTACATAAAATATTGAGTTGAGAAAATAATCTTTAGTTTTGGGAATTAGGGTGTCATTATGGAGGGGGCAGCAATTGATTTAGTCCTCAGGATAAGTGGCTGTGAAATTTGGAAGATTAGTAAATGGTATTGGGCAGCAAGAACAGCAGATATGAAAAGTCAGGTGCCTGACATTCTGGGGCATTAAAAACAAAACAAACAACAACAAGAACAAAAACTACTCCAAGTGCAATACAGTCCCAGTTTGAAGTTCTATTAAAATAGATAAATTATTTTTGTTATTTTACGACATATTTTGTTAAAATAGCAATATAATCTTTCAACTATTATTCTAACTTCACACCAAGGCAATACAAGAATTATAATTAATAATTATAATTCTGTACGTTTAAAGTGAATGTAGTGAATCTCCATATCATGTACAACCACAAGACTGGGATACTAATAAGATGTACTTCATGTTTGTTTAAATATCTCAATGTATATACTCTACTGTCATGTATAACTGAAAATAACAACAACAACAACAAAACCAGTTTAAATCCATAACAAAAAGTGGAAATAACTTCCATGATATAGAGTTTATTCAGCATCAACAAGAGTATTAAATGAAAATTTGGTGAAAGATTTTTATTCAAAACAGAGTTATTAGTAGTGAAATAGTAAAAAAAAAAAAAACATAACAAATGTGGATAATATGTTAATTTCATGATAACAAGCAAAGTTTGAACAATGACTCCTGACCACATCAGTAAACAAGAATCTTGCCTAGAATGCTGCTGTTTTGTATCTTTCCTGGGGAGAAATGATACTATGTTTTGGGAAATGATTTGATGTTGACAAGGAAGTACACTGTTCTGATAAATTAAAATTTACAATTTCAAAATCATAAACAAATTGGTTGAATAAAGAAATAGTAAAGCAGAATATTACAAGAAACCAAAATCTGGTCATGGTGGCATACCACTGCAATCCCATAGATCCTAAAGCCTGAGGCAGGAGAATCACAAGGTTGAGGCCACCATGGGCAACTTATTGAGACCTTTCCCTTCAAAATCAAATGTGCTAAGGATGTAGCCCAGTGGTCGAGTACCCCTGACTTTAATCACCAGTACCACAAAAAAAAGGAAGGAAGAAAAGAAAAACAACCCACTGATATTATAGGAATCTATGATTTAAATAGAAGAAAATTTATGTAAATTCATTAACTATTATAAAGTATTGTAACTATAATTTTATGAAAATTATTACACTAAATGCAATGAATTTAATGAATATTTTAATGATTTTGTGATTGTTTTAAAGATATGTATGACATTAAAGGTTAAATTTGCAATATTCAGAGAAATAAAGAGATGTTAGGTAACAAACGTACTTGGCAATTAGCAATCATTGCTGGGTTTTATTTTGTTTCTAGATAATTGAGAGCAAATCCCATAAATGTTCATATAGTTATGTAGAGGACATATTTTTCTAAGCAATGTTACAGTTAATAGGGATATTTCAAAATTCCTGGTGGTTTCAACAAGTACAAGCTATATTCCAATTTCAGTGTTACAATGTTATTTAAATCAAGTAGTAAACTATGTAATATCCCCTTAGATATAAGGATTTTGACTTGTGTGGATTGTGTCTGCATTAGTGAATAGGTATTTTTACTGAAATATGAATTTTAAATACATCTCTATTTCTTTCTCTCCATCTGTAAAGATCCCTTGTAACTGAATACTTGGATTTTGTAAAGTTTAGCAACAGGTTTTATTTAAGAACATTATTTTAGAAAGCTACCCAATTCCAATATACTAACACATCATGAATCAAAAATATATAGCAATAATGAAAAGCAATCCATTAAAAATCATGTATTAAGTAAGTACCTTTGTATATAGAACATTGTGATAGTCAACCTAACTTAAAAGATAGGTGCCTTTCCCCCTAGGAATATGTAATTTCAAACAGATGATAAAAATGACATGTATGCTAAGAATAAAATGTAAGCATTTTTTTCACATTTATGATGCATTCTTCCACATAATTCATAACATGAAGCATAGAGAATTTAGAAAGCACTAAGTGAATATCCTGAAGAACAAAATAAACACAGGCAGATTAAGAATGCTTTTTATAATCCACTAGTTGTTTACTAGTAGATTCAGACTTCTTGAGTTAGTATATTGTTTTGTCTAACATAACATAAAAAAAGAAGTAAAGCATAGGTTGCAAACAGAAAAGAGTTAATGGTAAAAAAAAGGCACAATCAAGACTATTATTACATAATCACCATGTTATTATAATAATAAGGTTTTTTTATAAAATATATTTTTTCTTTGTGTAGAAGACACATTAATTTAGTAATATCTTATAGACATTGAAAGGTCAATTATTCTTAACTTTTGCCAGGATTTTTGGCAATTACTAAAAATCTTATGAATTTTACTAAGATATTTTAAATAAATACTGAGGGTGAACATCAAGCACTTCATACCATGCCTAGTTTGATTATCAAAGTTGAATACCAATTTAATGAGATCCAATAAATAGTAAGTGAGGTCAATGACACAGTTTTTAATATTTAGAGGAAATACTAATTCTTCTGGTTAGGTGATACGTGCCCCTCACCCTGGCATTTTATTGTCATGAAATTTTTTTGAAAAGTGTGCACAACTTATATTAAAAAGTTTTTTTTTACAGAATTAAAAATGAATTATTTCAGCAAAATAGTGTTTTATTTTTTCCCACATGAAATTAGGGACTGGGTAAGATTGTTATCTGCATAAAGTACCAAATTTCTGATTTAAATCAATAGAGAAATGTAAGTGATTTTTGATCAGACAAGATGACTACACTAAATTGACAAATTTCCTTTCAGAAGTGATGCTCCAATAAATGTCTACATTTACTTATTTCTGGCAGTGAGACTCAATTAAGATAATGAAGTGATGTTACATAATTATTGATTTTAGAAATGAAATGTTTTCACTTGGATTTTCTAGATAAATAGGAACTGTATAATTACCTATATGGATAAGGAATATTTGTTTTGGAAATGCTATTTATGTACCTTATTTCCTGAGTTCAATAATAAATGTCTTTGTGGTACTAAATCAAAATATTAAATGGAATTAGAAGTTTGGGTAATTTGTATCAATTCCCAAGTTCCTATTAAACTGTTATAAATTGTTATAAATTCCCTAGACCAGATGCATAAACTTTAGGACATGTAAGTATTTTAGAGTGTTCAGCTTTTAATGTCACACCTAAGTAAATCCCTATTATTTCAAAATGATCTTTATATGTAGAAAAATTCAAAAGAAGATGTATTTCTACTGAGCACAAAAATAGGTTATTGGAAGAATAATACAT